CACATGTCGCAACACACCATGGTAGCACCTTCAGTCCATGCTACAGAACACGAAGGACAAATCCACACCTAATTACCGCATTATAGCGTTCCACTGAGCAGATTTTGAATCTTGAAAAGTATGGACAAACCACATCTGAACTATCGTCGTCTCCTTCCTCAGAGTTGTCGTCAGGAACGGGAGTATTCACCTCCACCTCAACTTCATTAATGAACTTGCATAAGAAAACCTTACGGCAAAACAAAAACCTGATTTTTCTTCTCTTCTTTGCTTCGACGTTTTTCTTTGCTCTTCCTGTCCTTCTTCTTTTCTATAAAGGAGCCGATTAAGGTCTTATGATCCCAGCAAAAATTTTGAGTAAATCACAAACCCGCTTTGACAAATGCCGTCACAGGAGGTGGCAGTTGAGCTTCCCTTTCGCGGCGTAGCTTCTCCCGTTCGCGTTCCTCCTTCTCGCGCAGTTCCTTTTCTCTTTGCTCCGCCAGCTCGCGCTCCTTCTCCTTCTCCCGATCTTTTTCGCGTTGGCGTTCGAGTTCACGCTCCCGCTCGCGTTCGCGCTCTTGTTCTCGCTCGCGTTCCCGTTCTCGTTCCCGTTCGTGCTCCCGCTCGCGTTCCTGGTTCTCCTGCTCCCTTTTCCGAGCTCGCTCTAACTCCTGCTCACGCTCCTGTTCAAGACGTCGCTTCTCCTCCTTTTCTCTGCGCTTTCGTTCCTCCTTTTCTCGCTTCCTTTCCTCATCTTCTTTCTTCTTACGCCTCCTCTCTTCTTTACTCAGCTTCTCCGAAGGGAAGCTAGGGTACGATGTGGGTGGAGCTTTTAACTGAAAGAGAGGAAAATTTTTCAAATGCAGGAGAAGTAATATCGCATGAAGACTATTGTCACAAGCCAAAGGAGAATCAAGTTCATTCCTACTGAGTAATGTAAGATGAAGGAGTACGATACAAAAATAGCTTTGAACAAGTACGAGAAAGAGTGAGGCTTCAAAGAGCTGAGCTAGGTTTTCGAGTACCATCATGCTTGAATTTGCGAATTAAACGGGGCACCTCAGCTAAATGAGCACACTTCTTGGGAGAAAGAGAAAACTCCATCTAAATTATTAGAGAAACAACATATAAACAACTACAGCTAGTTGATCTCGTCAAATAAAAAGTGCTCTACAAATGAAATTTCCTTGCATTCACATAGACCAGTGAAAAATGTAGTGATATGCACAAATTGCTCGACATATTGGCAGATGAAAAAAAGATGCAAAGGATGGAGCAAACCTCAGCTTTAGTGTAAAACTTTCGTTTCGGCTCTGAATGGTTAGATTCTTCATTTGTCTCCTTTTGCGATGATAACGAACCTAGTTTCAGTGGTGGCACAGATTTCTGCTCCTCTTTCTTGGGCTCTTCACTAAAAAAAGCAGTCCCTCGCTTATATGAACTATATAGTTGATAGACATATTAAAT